GATAAATAGTTTTCTTTCTGAAGGACAATCGTAGGGTATATCTTGTACATGATGCTTAAAGGGTCCCCAGAAGAACTGATTCCCAGTGGCTTACAACTCATTCTGTTTCACTGTTTTCATTCTCCCACTCTTTTTTTATTTTCTTTTTTTATTGTTATACTTTATGTTGATCTTGTGATATCTTCCCAAACTAAACAACCCCTATACAAGACCTTATTTCACAGTTTGACTTTGGGAGGAATCAGTCTAGACAAGTTGTCTTCAGCGGAGGCCTGAGGAGTATGAGCTTGAGGTAATGACCTAGTGCATTATCACCAGAAGCAGAAATTGAGGAAAAAATAAATGTAGGAGATATTACAACATGTGTTGACGAAAATGATCAGACATCCAAAGGGCTTGAGGTAATGACCTGGTGCATCATTACCAGAAGCAGAAATTCATGAAAAAATAAATATAGAAGATACTACAGCATGTGTTGACAAAAATGATCAGACATCCAAAGAAAAGGTAATGAAGTAGGAAAGAGACAGGAGGACACAGCTGTGATGATGTCCTTAAATGAGCTCCCAGCTTTAACTCTTCAGAGTAAATCCATTTTCCTTCTCCAACTAATTCTCCAGATATTCCTATTCTGTGAATGGCACTTTTATTCTCTCAGTCACAACATCTCTAAATTCAGGTAAGGCTCCTCTCTCAACAAAGCCCCGTCATCTGCACTAGTTTGCTAAGGCTGCTGTAACAAAGTACCATAGACTGGGTGGCTTTAACAACAGACATTTATGGTCTTACAGCTCTGGAAGCTAGAAATCTGAAACCAAGCTGTTGGCAGTGTTGATCCTCTCTGAGAGCTGTGAGGGAGAATCTGTTCCAGACCTCTCTCCTTGCCTTGTGGATGGTTTCCATTCTCTTTAACTTTGCACATCATATTTGCTGTAGCTATGGCTGTCTTCAAATCCTGCCCCTGCCTTTTTTGAGATTGGGTCTCCCTATATTGCCTAGGATGGTCTCAAACTCCTGTGCTCAAGCGATTATCTCGACTCAGCCTTCTGAGTAGCTGGGACTATGAGCACTGGCCACTGTGTATTTCCCCTTTTTATAAGGACACTCATCACATTGAATTAGAGTCTGTCCTAATGACCTGATCTTAACTAACTACATCTGTAACAACCCTATTTCCAAATAACATCACATTTGGAGGTGCTGGGATTTAGGACTTCAACATATGATTGTTTTTTGGGGGTGGACAGAATTCAACCCATAACAGTTACCGAGGCTTATTAACTCACCCTTCAAAATATCTCTCATACATGTCCTCTTTCACTCCCATTCAGGTCCTGTGTGGCACACCCCCACCATTGCAACAGTCTTTCTAAAATGTTTCCACTTTCTCCTGTTCTCTAATCCATCCTTAAACAGAAATGTGAGGCTATGCTTAAGCACAACTTTCATCGTGTTCACTTGCTCAAAGACATTTAGTGTCTCCTCATCACCTATCAGATACTACCCAAATTAGATAACCTGGTCCTCTGCAATAGGAACTGAACCTGCTTTCCTTTCTAAAAACTCCCATCTTTCCTACCCATTCGCCATGTCCCAGAATTATCAGATTATTTAATGTCCCCTATAGGTTTTTCCTTTCCAACCTCTGCAACTTTGCTCTGGGCATGGGGGTGATGTTAGGAGGGTCAGAGAATGGACCACAGAGGATAATTTAGATTTTTCAGATAAGATTGACAATGTGTGCTGGGGATGGGGCACTTATATGCAGAGGGAACTGCTTATACAAGGGCCCAGAAGCATAAACCAGCTGGGCATGTTTGGGGAAATGCAAATAGGGCTGAATTGCTGGCGCCCATAGGACGGCAGAATGGGGGAAACACCGCAGCGTTGAAGAGGTTGATGAGACAAGAACTTGAATGCTCTGTGGGCCGGATAAATTGCTTAGATTCTTCCCTATACCCAGGCAGTTAGTCAATGATTTATAACCAAATCCATGGCAGTGGATACTCTGACTTGTTCACAACTGTATCCCCAGGGCCTAGAAGAGTGTCTGGCACATAGTAGGCTTGGTCTGGGTGGACCTAAGAGCAGAGTGAGACAAGAACTTGGGCTGGGCATGTTGACTCACGCTGGTAATCCCAGCACTTTGGGAGGCCAAGGCAGGAGGATTGCTTGAGCTCAGGAGTTTGGGACCAGCCTGGGGAACATAGTGAGACCTTGTCTCTACTAAAAACCAAAAAAATTAGCCAGGCGTGGTTGTGAGCATCTGTAGTACCAGCTAGTCAGGCTCAAGTGAGGTGGAAGAATTGGATTCTTCCAATTTTTCACAGCAGCCTCAGTCTCTCGGGCTCAAGTGAGGTGGAAGAATCCTGAGAGACAGGCTGCTGTGAGGTATGATTGCACTACTGTACTCCAGCCTGGGTGACAGAGCGAGATCTGGGTCTCAAAAATGAATGAATGAATGAATGAATGAATGAATGAATGAATGAATAAATAAATAAATAAGAATTTGGGTGCAGGTAGTTCGTGTGGGAGATGATTCCAGAAATCACAGATGAGGGATAGGGAAAGTAAGCCATAGAAGGAAGAAAAGCCAATAATATTAAGTGCGTTGCTGAACAGGTTACCACTGTGGGCGACTAGGCTGAATCTCACTAGGGACCCTCTGAAGAATCATATTGAACATTCCTCAGAATAGTCCACTAAGGGCTGGTGGAATCTGGGATATTTTTGCGCTAAATTTGGTCCTTAACTGGTTGAGAGTTGCCTCTAGGGGCATTACATCCCAGGTGCTTCAGGGCTGCCTGGGGCACAGGTGGGCAGTCCCTTGGCATTCCAGAAAGCCTACAGGATGAGAAGTAGAATCCTACAACGTGAAGTGGGAAGGTTGACAGGTTCAAGAACTGTTCACCTGCAGCTGCAGGCAAATGGAGATGCAGGCCAGGAGATATGGGGTGGGGTGTCCACTGCATTCACTCCCTGTAGATACCTGAATGATGCTATGTTATACGTGGCTTACTTTCTCGACTATTTCTTGACAGAGCCTCTTGACAGAGCCTCTTAATTTCTTGATTATTTCTTGACTTTTTCTTGACAGAGCCTCACTCTGTCACCCAGACTAGAATGCAGTAGCACAACGATGACTCACTGCAGCCTCGACCTCCTGGGCTCAAGTGATCCTCCCACCTCAGCCTCCCAGGTAGCTGGAACTACAGCTGCACACCACCACGCCCAGCTAATTTTTGAATTTTTGTGAAGATGGAGTTTTGCCATGTTGCCCAGGCTGGTCTCAAACTATTGGACTCAAGTGATCTGCCTGCCTCAGTCTCCCAAAGTGCTGGGACTACAGGAATGAGCCACCACACCCCGCCCTGACTACTCTTAAAGGTCTTTGAGGGCAGGAACCAAATATGTGACTCAGCATAAAGGCCAGGCACAGTGAAGCACATGATTACATACATGTTTGAAAATGAATGAGAAAGAAAGGTGCAAGAAGGAAAGATGGATGAGTGGCAGGGGTTAACTGATTTGATGAGAACTAGGTACAAATGAGTATGACTGGTCTAATGTTGGCTTTAGCTACGTCCTTGAACACAACAAGAAGGGAAAGGGCAACCACAGTAGCAAGACTGAGAATCTGGATCCTTAAGAACTAGTCATGTAGTTTCTCTGGGTTGTTTAAATGGGGAAGATGTGGTGTGGCCAAGTTCCAATTCGTTAGAGAAACCCAGTGTTTTCTTTCTGTTGTTGTTGTTGTTGTTCGTTTGTTTGAGATGGAGTCTCACTCTGTCGCCCAGGCTGGAGTGCAGTAGTGCGATCTTGGCTCACTGCAACTCCGCTTCCCAGGTTCAAGCAATTCTCCTACCTCAGCCTCCTGAGTAGTGTGCCACCATGCCCGGCTAATTTTTGTTTGTTTGTTTGTTTATTTATTTATTTATTTATTTATGATGGACTCTTGCTCTGTTGCCCAGGCTGGAGTGCAGGGGCATGATCTCAGCTCACTGCAACCTCCTGGGTTCAAGTGATTCTCCTGCCTCAGCCTCCCAAGTAGTTGGGATAACAGGTGTGCACCACTACGCCCAGCTCATTTTTATATTTTTAGTTGAGATGATATTTCACTATGTTGGCCAGACTGGTCTCGAACTCCTGAACTCAGGTGATCCCTCTGCTTCGCCTCCCAAAGTGTGGGATTACAGGCATGAGCCACCGCGCCCAGCCTAATTTTTGTATTTTTAGTAGAGATGGGGGGGGTCTCACTATGTTGGCCAGGCTGGTCTCGAACTCCTGACCTCAAATGATCCACCCACCTTGGCCTCCCAAAGTGCTGGGATGGATTACAGGTGTAAGCCACTGTGCCTGGCCAAGAAACCCAGCCTTGATACCTGCCCATTTGGTTACACCTGTGAGCCTCCAATGTGTGTGGAAGTGCTTCAAGATGTATAAAGCTCTGCAAATAGGACATTCTAGTGTTTGGTTGTTGGCTGAGCATGGGTGGTGAGATTACCAACTGCCTTTTAAGATTTTAAGCTACCAGGAGCAAACTGGCAAGAACGATCAGAATATCCAATGTGTGTACACTCTGACCTCAACACTGATCTGTTGGTCCTTATAGACAGGATGGGTGGGAAAGCCTGGCAGGGGCTATAATGCTGGAGGTGGGGACCCTCAAAAAACAGCAGGGGCCAGGCCTGCCTGGCATGAGGGGTAAAATAAATGAATATGGAGTCCACCTCCCCATAATGTGAAAGGATGGGCAACTAGACCACACAGTGTGGCTGGGGGTGGGGGGGCTGCCATTTCAGCTGTGGTCTCACTCACACTTTCCCCACTCCAGGAATTATCAGTGGAAGGAAAACAAGACAGAAGTCAGCCTTCCATCGGTCAAGAGTTGTGCTCCCCTCATCCCCACCCCATGTTTTCATCCCACCTCCCTCCCTTTGGAGGCTCTGGCCAAGTTCAACCCCCACCCATCTTGCCTCAAGACACGCCCACAGACAGTGTTTGCTTGAGAGTCTACTTTAATGATTCAGATCTGGGTCATCCAAGAACTGCCCCTCTGAAGGTCAATGGGAAGGGTGCTGGGGCAGGGAGGCTCCACATGAGGTCTCAATCAGCCACAAGGTTGCAGCCCACAGTAGGAAATGGTCCAGAGAAGTCCTAAAATGAGAAGAAACAAGGGATCTAGAGTCAGGATGTGAGATGATGGCTCCTCCCTCATCTGCCCTCCTTCCACAAATACTGTAGTAACAGCCTGATTTGAGTAACCCTTCGGCATGGTGACAGCTCACTGACTGAGAGCCTGTACCCTTGGATCTCACATGTAGCCCCATCTCTCCATGGTTTGCCCTTGAGCTCAGGTCTGGAGAAGAATGGCAGCTCCTTGTTTGCGTTATTCCTGGGAGCACCAGGGCAACCAGTCCCCCACAGGTAGGTCTCTGTCATTTCTGTCACTGAGCTCTGATTATGTTGCCCTAGCAACCAATCCAGGCTTAGGAAGCCCAGCTGCCACATATGGAAGTAGGAATCCGTTTCCTTGGAGAGTATGAGGAGCTGGAACCCCCTGTGGTGCAGGTTGCCTTTAGATGGAGGGTGCAACCAGCCGGGGGTGCCCTGCTTCACTGCCACCACCCAAATCCAAGCCACCTCGGTCTCCCTGGACCAGGATGAGCCTCTCCTTACAGATCTCTCAGTTTTCACTCTTGTTCTCCTTACAGTTCATTCCTCAACATCACCAGGGAGGCCTTTTAAAATCATATCACATTGTGATATTCCTTTCCTTAAAATTTCCCAGTTAAATTACCACTGCACTTAGAATAAAATCCAAACCTTTTGCTATGGTCTGTGAGCCCCTGTGTGGTCCGTCCTGGGTCTAATTCTCCACCCTCATCTTCTGCCACTGACTTTTCTGTCCATTCTTTAACATGCCATGGTATGGGTGTCTCAGGACATTTGTAGTGGCAATGCTCTCTGCCTATCTGCCTAAGATGCCCTTCCTTTACATCTTCCTCTGGTTGCCACCTTCTTATAATTTAGGTCTTAGTCCAAAAAAAAAAAAAAAAAAAAACCCTCTTTTTTCAATGTGGAGGAGTCTGATGTTTGGAATGACCCAATCCCACTGCAGTTCTTGAGAGGAAGGGCAGGGACTGTGCAGGGGAAAGAGCTGGAAATCAGGAGACCTGGGTCCAGTCTTAGCTCTGCCACAAACCCATGGTGTGGCCTTGAGTACATCCCATGGCCTGGGCCTCAATTTCTCATCTATAAAGATGGATGGTAGTACTAGATGGGCGGTTTCCATTCTGGATTCTGAAGAGTTCAAAGATCCCAAGGAGATGTCTCAGAGCCTTGCCCGGGTGACTTGCCCAGACCATAGAGTAGAGCAATGGGGAGGCTGAATGTGAGGGTCTCTGAGCTGCATCTCCCATTCATCAAGGGAGTGTTGCTATCACTTGCTGTATACAAAGGCGTATATGGCAAAAAGGAAGACCTTTAATTTTGAAAACTCTGCAGTTTCAATGCCTATTTTAAACTCTCAATGCTATTTTAAACTCAATGCCTATGCATGATCTTATAGATAATTTCTTCCTTAGAGGCTCCCAGCGCTGCATCATGTCCAGCCCCCCATATGAACGCCTATAGGAAGTCTGAGAGATACAGGAAATTAGGGGTATCTTTGATTAGGAATGGAAAAATCTTTCTTTCAGCTGTCTGCCCTCACCCCAATGCCCATTCTCTTCTTCCTATCTGCCTCCCTCATTTAAACAGGTCCAACCTCCCAAGAAAAAGTGAGCCCCTTACCTTGACAGGGTTGGCCACCTCTTGTTTCAGGACCTTAGAAACCACTTTGGAGGTAAAGCACTGATCCCTGTTCACCTTGGCCAGGGGGCTCTGTGAGGAGGGAAACCAGGAGTTGAGAAGGAGGCAGAAAAGGGTGAGAGGGCCCCACAGGAAAAGCAATTGGATACAAAGTCAGGGATTCACAATTCTTGAGAAGATACATGAGACTCACCGTGGGGAATAGGAGTCAAAGTTTCTCCTCTTGCTTGCTTCTAGAAGAGACAGGGAATGACACACTGGACCTAGGCTTGCTACACCCACCTCCCCTCCCTTTGCAGATATCACTAATGGATCATGAAATTGTTCTCTGCTGATTCCAAACAGGACCTCTGAATTATTCTCCTCACAGTGCTCCTGGAAACTTCTACCCACAGCTTTAGCACACATTCCTTCCCTGTTCCGTCTGCCAGAATGCTTGGAATGACCACAGGTCTCACGCACCTCACCCCAGCGGTTTTAGTGGGGAAAACTGCCTTGCCATCCTTCAGGCATGGATCTTGGGGATGCAGTCTGCTGGTGTGCTCCATCTTTTGGATCATGGCATCCTGGGTGATATCATCCTTCCAGAACAGACCTGCAGGATGAAAAGATGGGGTGAGTTGACACCTGGGACACTCAGATCCACTCCAGGGATCAGATCAGCCTTTCCCTCAAGTACACATCAGATTACATTTTACAGAAAGAATTAAACAAGATGATGTATTAAAGTTACTTAGCATAGTGCCTAGCATATAATATTCAAATTAGGATTATGATGACAGTCTCTTTGCTGGTTCATTTGATGCTACTGTGAGGATTAAATGAGGTTAGGAATGTAAAGAGTGCTTAGAAAATGCCAAGGCAGTGATTATCAAACTTTAGCGTGTGCATGAGACTCTCCTGCAAGGTCTGTTAAAATACAGACTGCTGTTTCCCATCCCTAGGGCTTCTGATGCAGTAGGTCTGTGCTGAAGTTCAAAAATTCACATTTCTAACAAGTTTCCTGGTGAGGTTGATGCTGCCAGTCCAGGGGTGCACTTTGAGAACTACTGCTCTAAGGCACTATGCACATATTAGGCATTAGCAGTGGTAATATGAACTCAAGGAAGATTTCCTATCTGACTCTCTCCTCCCCAACATTCATGAAACTCTGCTCTAAAACAGGGTCAGCCACATGTTGCCAATGGACTCTCCACTCCCTTTCATTCCTTCCATCTGTTGGTCATACAATTTCCTGCTCAGAGGCTGAAGTGGGTGAGTGTTTTCCTGGCTGAGAACTTGAGGAGTCCTGGCTTTGGGAAAGCTCATATAGTACCGGGGTTGAGGGGAGACTAGTCTCAAGGAGTTGGATGCTGGCCTTTCTCAGGTGTTTTTTTCCCTAGAAGCCTCTACTGGGCTCTTGCAGGGTGTTCTAGTGCAAATAGTCCACCCATCCAGATCCCACCCCTACTCCTGTCTCATCCCCATGGGGGTAAATGTGACAAGAAAGTTTTAAGTAGAGATGTTTGGGGAACAGAAAGCCTGTCCTCAGGTCAGATAGCCCCTCTTCCCTCCTCCCCATATCTAACCAGGTCCCAGCTTCTGTTCTCCAGCTTTTACTTACCTTGGGGCAAAATCTGCTGGAACACAACCTGTAAATGCTGGAAGACTGGGGTGGCAAATCCTTGGAGGGGCCAAAGCTGCCCTACTCCTACTTGGTCCTGACCATCTAAGGGCAAAATAGTGGTGTCAGCAAGGAACCTGGCCAGAAGCCTTCCACATCTCAGTTGAAGAGAAGCAGGTTCCTTGTACTGTTGCTCCTGGACCCCTGACCTCTCTTCCCCCTACCAGCACCTTTGCCTGCTTCAAGTCTTCCTTCTTTAATTTTTCCCTTCCTCCATCACCACTTGCCATATTCTTCAGCCCCTGGGCCTTGTTCACTCTTGGTACCAACTTACAGATTAGAACCAAACTTACAGGCAAAGGTAGAAGTTCAGGTGAGCAGAGGCTCAGAAAGCTAAGCACAGGGGAAAGGTAATCAGGTGGGTAGGTGGGGTTTGGGGAAACAGGTGAGCTTCATCTTAGGGAAGTCATTGAAGCCTGGAAGTGTTAGGGAGAAGGCCTGGAATCATTAGAAAGAAAAAGTATTGATTTGTTTAGGGTTTGAGGGTCTGCATCCTTTTCCTGAAACCCACAGTTTGCCCAGTTGTGCATGGGGGAAGGACAGGGGTTGGGGAAGAGAACCCCTAATGCTATGCACACCTTCCTTCTTCCAGATAAGTGAGATGGGGCTGGAGGACAGTCTGTTTTTTGCTATAGTGTAGTTACCATGAGCCATTCTGGACAGGTCTTTAAAAAAGGGAATTTTCCTACCCAATCAAGTGGCTGTCTAATAATTTCCTGGGGGTGAGCGTGACAAGAAAGTTTTAAGTAGAGACATTTGGGGATGAGAAAGCCTCCTTAAGGAAGGAGTGGAACCCCCAACACCCTGAGGAGAAGGAAAAGAGTTTCGGGAAGGGGAGCTGGTTCTCTGAGGCAGCGTTACCAGACTGGTGGGACGGAGTGGTGACCCGCACGGGCTCGGCCTGGGCCCCGAGCGCGCCTGGCGCTGTCCGTGGGGCTGAAAGGTGGGGAAGTCGGCGTGGCGGCGGCGCTGGGCGGAATGTGGGTGAGGCATCTCCGCAAGGCTTGGCGGTCCTTCCCCACGGCCCTCATCCTCTCATTGCCACCAGGCCTCCCCTCACAGTTGTTCCTGAATCCGCTGCATTGGCCTCTAAGCCCAAAAGGCAGTGAGAAGGGGCGACAGACTAGGAATTTGCGCTCTCTTCCCCATGCACTCTGCGCAGGAATTCTCGAGTTTGCGCAGTCGGGCGCGTGAGTCAGCGCGGTGTCTACCCGGGTTGGTGCAGGGGACGGGGAGAAGGACGGTCCCATTCCCCCTCCATCCTGCTTTCCCTCAGCCTAGCGGTCCCCTTATTGGAAATCGGATCACAGCACGAGGAAGCCCTAGCTCGTCTCCCCGCCCAGCCTTCTCCCTGGAGCCAGGATCCCGATACCCGCAGCCCTGGTCATCTCTTTTCTGGCCTTTCTTGCTTCTCCTGTGGCCACATAGGCCAGTTTTACCTCTCTCTGTCCATTTGTCTTTCCGACCTCTTTTCCAAATCTCCAATTTTCCCCTGAACGCCCTTCTCGTGGGTCCAGACCCCATACGCTCAGCCTATCCCACGCCTACGCCTCTTTCCGCGAGATGCTCTCTACCTTTTTCTCTTCTCACGTCCTTAAGCACATTCTTCTACTTCCAAATTTCCTAGCCTGGAGGTCCCCTTCAGACCCCCACTTCTCAGGATCGCTTTCCGGGCCCTGCCCGCGCCCCCCAGGATTCCTCCTGACCGTGGGCACTAATGTCGCTGCAGCCCCCTGGGCAGCTGTTCAGCAGCAGGAAGCAGACAAGCAGCCGGAGCCCCTCGGAGCCCCCAGGCCACAGTGGGTGCTGCATCCTCCCAGGCTCGGCGTGCTCACTCCCCGGCCGAGTCTCAGTGAAGGTAGCGGCCGTGGCCGAGGGGCTGAGCGGGGCTGAAGCTTCCCACCAGTCCGCGACGCGGAATCTGTTTAACCCTCCTCGGCAGTTCAGCCAATAGCGAGCGGGCCCTGCCCCTGCGGTCGCCTCCCTAGCTCCTTCCCCTACCGCCTCCCCACCCTCACCTCTTGGAATTCCTGACCCGGCTCCTTTTGGACATTAGCTGGGTCCCAAGAACCACCGCCTGTACTCCCAGTCCTAAGGTTGGAGAAACGGATGGCGTGTAAGATACGGGTGCTAATTGTACCTACTCAGGTTTGTTGTGAGAATTAAATATGAACAGCGATGAAACAGTAGGCACTCAAGGAATTTAGTTTATTTTATTATCTTTGATACTGTCTTTACTCTGACCCATTTAAAAACCTTTAGAAATCATATAGGTTCGACCTGCAATATATATATATATATGGCATATCCATTCGCTTTACTCCACATCCACTGCCATCGCCCTGGTCCAAACCACTGTACACTATACGTTTTGTTTTTTTTTGAGACAGAGTCTTGCAATTTCAGATCACCGCAACCTCCTCTCGACCTCTGCTCAACCTCAGGCTCAAACGATCCTCTCACCTCAACCTCCAGAGTAGCTGGGACTATAAGTGTGCACTACCATGCCCAGCCAATTAATTAATTAATTTATTAATTTATTTATTTATAGAGACAGAGTTTTTCCATGTTTCCCAGGCTGGTCTCAAACTCCTAGGCTCAAGCAATCCTCCCACCGTGGCCTCCCACAGTGTTGGCATTACTGGCATGAGCCACCATGCAAGGCCTTGGACACTGCACTCTTTTAAATTGAGCTGTTGTAATAACTAACTAGCTAACTGACCTCTTGCTTTCACTCTTGTGTACTTATAAGCTAGTTTTTGAGCTTTCTAACTCCTAGACTGGCATTAAAAAAATTTTTTTTTCATTAAGCTTAAAACATTTGTTAAACTGGGCTTGGTGGCTCATGCTTGCAATCCCAGCACTTTGGGAGGTCAAGATAGTGGATTATTTAAACCTAAGAGTTTGTATACTGAACATTTGGGATTGATACATTACAAAGGATTTTACAATACAATACACAGAACTATATTATTATCTTTAAAGGGTAATAGTTTGAGTTTGTTCTGGCAGGCAATTAAATTTTTGGCAAAAAGTCTTGATCCTGTGGCAGTCTGGTTAGGGAAGGATTACTTCATCCTGTTCTCAATTCTAGGCCGTATCTCTTAGTCCTGGGATATGGTGCTTATGGCTAAGGTGTGGTCCTTTTGGATTTCAACGAAACCCAAAGTCATTTACCAAAACTCTCTATTTTATGGGTCCTGAACTCCAAACTCGGTCACTCTAACACTGTGACAGCTGCCAAAATCTCTGTCCAGATATTTGACTTTCTCACTAGGTTCCTTGAAATCTCACCCTGCACAAGTGCCATTTAGAAGATAGCTAAGGATTTGAGGGGAGTTGGTATGCAGATTTTGAGTTCCTCTCTCTGTAATTTACTCATTTTCTAAATTTCTTCCTCAATTTCAGCTGCTCTGGCATCTCTATACTCCAAAAGCTGCTTCCTCAGTTAGTAAGACTGCCACTTGCTGACAGAGCTGTTTCCCTGTGTACTGCAGTGAACTCTGAAGTATCTTCAGAGAAAAAGCCTATACATGTAGAAGTCACTTGGTGGACTTCCTTTATTTGAGGATGATACTCCCTGTAGGTTTCTAACTCTTGATCAGTCTCCATGCTTTCATACAGTTATCTTTATTATTTTGCCTAGAGTATATATTCAATGTTAGGAGGAGGGTCTGACACAAGTTTCTGTCTTGTCACGCCAGAAGCTAGAGGTTTATCTGGTTATCACTGATTATGTACTGGACATATTATTTTAAAATAAATCTACAGCAATAATTTGAAGCCTAAGAACAAATGAATGTGAACCTGCTTTGTGAAGTATAATGCTCCTGGAAAAAGGGAAATATTGGTCTTTGGGTGGGCTGAACAAAGGTGAGTGTGCTCCTCTCAGTATTTTAATATTTTATTTTATTTTATTATTTATTTATTTATTTATTTATTTATTTATTTATTTTTGAGATGGAGTCTTGCTCTGTCGCCCAGGCTAGAGTGCAGTGGCCAGATCTCAGCTCACTGCAAGCTCCGCCTCCCAGGTTTACGCCATTCTCCTGCCTCAGCCTCCCGAGTAGCTGGGACTACAGGCGCCCGCCAAGTCGCCCGGCTAGTTTTTTGTATTTTTTAGTAGAGACGGGGTTTCACTGGGTTAGCCAGGATGGTCTCGATCTCCTGACCTCGTCATCCGCCCGTCTCGGCCTCCCAAAGTGCTGGGATTACAGGCTTGAGCCACCGCGCCCGGCCTGGGGCCCACTGTCTTACCTCCAGACAAGCCCACTTAAAGAATTTTCATGAAAACCCACTTTAAAAAAATCCAGTAGCAAGTTGTCCTAGAACTGCCTCTCTGCAGGGTGATGGGGCTGGGAGAGGAGGAAGGCCTCCCAATCTGTGACAAAGTTTTGCTCAGAGAAGGAAACAGTTCAAAGAAGCTCTAAAATGGGAGAAAAATGAGATTTGGAATTTGTGTGTATATGTGCTAGGGGCTCCTCCTCCACCATATAAGTTCCCCTCACCCCACTACATAAGAGCCTCTAGTAGCAGTCTTGACTTGGGCAAGTCTTTAAGAACGGTGACTCAGCAACCACCTGACAGCTAGCTTCCCCTTGGCTCCAGTGTCACGATCTTCCCTCCCTCCCTGATTTTTTCCTTAGGTACAGAGCTAGTCAAGGACCCTGAGCCTGCAAAAGAAAGGCAGATTCTTGTTTGCATAATTAGTAGCACCATGGCAACCAGTTCTTATTGTGAGGATCAGTCATTTAGTGCTGATGATGCCACTCCAGCGACCAATCCAGCTAGGAGAAGTGTAGCTGCCATGGTGACAGGAGTCTAGAAGCAATTTCCTTGGAAGCATAAGGATCTAGAGCCCCCTGAGGTTCAGGCTGCCTGTGGGGGTAGTGCAGGGCCAGATGGAGGTGCTCAGCTCCACTGTGATTGCCTCCTCCAGGTCACCACAGTCCTTCTTGGACCAAGACAACGCTTCCTAGCTGATCTATTGATTCCACTCTTTCCCCATCAATACATTCTCAAATAGCCTTTTAAAATTGTATATCACATCATTCTATTCCGTTCCTTAAAATCCCCAGTGATTTTTCCTCTGTACTTTGCATAAGATCTAGATGCTCTACTGTTGCCTACAAAGCTCTGTCTAGGCAGTTTTGGGCTTATTTCTCTAGTCCCATCTCCTGTCACTGGTTGTTCTGTTTGTTCTTCCAATGTGCCATTTGAGAAATGAAAAAAATATAATAACCAAAATAAAAACTGACTGGATGAGCTCCAAGCAGGATAGAAATGACAGAAGAGTCAGTCAGCTTGAAGATGGGTCAACAGAAATAATCCAATCAGAACAAGAGAGAGAAAAAACACTGGGAAAAAAAAAGTTAACAGAATTTCAGAGAGCTGTGGGACAATATCAAAAGTCCAAAATCGATGTCATTGGAATTCCAGATTGAGAGGAGAAAGTGTAGTACACACAAAAAATCTGAAGAAATAATGGCTGAAAAATTCCCAAATGTGTCAAAAGACATAAACCTAAAGATTCAAGAAGCTTAATGAATGCCAAATAGAATAAACTCAAAGAATTCTATATACTCTGACACATTATAATCAAAATTCTAAAAACTGAAACAAAGAAAAAATCTTAAACAACACACGACTAAAGAGCAATGGGATTCAGAAAACCGAATTTTTCATTATAAACCATGGGGGCCAGAAGGAAGTGAAATAACATCTTTAAAGTTGTGAGGGAAATGAGCTGTCAACTAAGGATTCTATATCCAGTAAAAATATACTTTAAGAATGAAGGTGAAATAAGGATATTCTCAGATGAAGAAAAACTAAGATAATTAATTGCTAGTAGAAACATCAGGAATGAAGAAGAATAGAAATGACAAGTGTCTGAATAAATATCATAGGCTATTCTTCCCCTTGTGAGTTATTTAAAATATATTTGGTTAAAAGCAAAAATTCCAGCCTGGGCAACATGGCAAAACCCTGTCTCTCCAAAAAAAAAAAAAAAATTAGCCAACCATGGTGGCACACACCCATAGTCCTACTTACTCAGGAGGCTGAGGAAGGAGGATTATCTGAGCCCGGGGAGGTCAGGGCTGCAGTGAGCCATGATTGCACTACTGCATTCCAGCCTGGGCAACAGAGTGAGACCCTGTCTCAATCAATCCAATCAATCAATCAATCAATCAATCAATCAAATAAGGTTGGGCACAGTGGCTCACACCTGTAATCCCAGTACTTTGAGAGGCTAAAGTAGGAGAATCACTTGAGCTCAGAAGTTAGAGACTAGCCTGGGTGACATAGCAAGACGTCGTCTCTACTAAAAATTAAAAAAATTCCAGCCTAGAAACATGGCGAAACCCTCTCTCTACAAAAAAATACAAAAATTAGCTGGGTGTGGTGGTGTGTGCCTGTAGTCCCAGCTACTTGGGAGGCTGAGGCAGGAGGATTGCTTGAGCCCGGGTGGTGGAGGTTGCAGTGAGCTGAGATCATGCCATTGTATTCCAGTGTGGGTGACAGCGTGAACTGCTCCCTCAAAAAAAAAAAAAAATTCACTGGGTCTGGCTGGGTCTGATGGGACAGTATGCCTGTAGTCTTAGCTACCCAGAATACTGAGGCACGAAGATCACTTGAGTTCAGGAGATAGAGATTGCAGTGAGCTATGATCACACTACTGCACTCCAGCCTGGGCACCCTGTCAAAAATAAAAAAGCAAAAATTATAACATTGATAGAATTTTCAATGTATGTAAATGTAATTGATTCTAATAGACAACTACAGCATAAATGGGGAAGGTAAAGAGATCTGTATCCTGGTAAGATTTCTATATTACACTTAAAATGGTAAAATAGTGATTAAAAGTAGACTTGGAAAAATTAAGTATGTATACTGTAATCCCCAAAG